ATATAGTTCAATATTAGATATTGACACAAGCTTCAGTAATTTTTTTTGTACTATATCGAGGCCAAAGACTTTCGTACGATAACTTTGTGTTTCATGCATGGTTCTAAGTTCTTCATTAATTTTATATTGGATCAGTGCTTCCTTGGGGACTGGCTGTAATGCGTTTGGCTTGTTCCAATTCTCTTGATAGAAACGGCTCGTCGAAGGGACACATTTAGTGGTTTAGTTGGAAGGCTTAGTAATCTGCTGGGAATTCTACACACGTCTTTCATAAACCACCTGTGTGAATATGGACCATATGATGTAAACTAATATATAATTTTTTTCTTAATAAAGTTTATTTTTGGTCTTCTTTACTTTTCGAATCATTTCTTTAATATTATAATAATAAATACGCTTGAGACACAATATGCATCTTTACTTAAATTTTTATTGATTCTTGTAGTTTTTATTGTATTATGTGCCCTATGTTGGTAAGTAATGGCTGGATATTGTTGTATTTCCCAGAAAATAAAAAAGTGATTACTCTATATTAGAATTTAGATGTAAGAAAAGCCTTTGAGATTTTTACCCACTTCACAACTCTTTATACTAATGCGAGTTAAATAACATTTTATATAACCAACATATACTAGAAAATATTCATTAACGTAAAATAAGAATTCTTGAATGATTTGCAGGTCATACTAAATGTAAGATGAAATATGTTATATAAAAATGTTATACAATTGTTACAAAAGTAAAATGTTCTCAAAAAAATTTAATATTCATTAAAGGTTATTTGAGATAAAATACAGATTTCACAGGCAGGTGTTCAAGTATTTTTTAATTAATGTTATTAAAGTCTCTATTTAATTCTATTTGTTATAAACAATATTTTGTTAGTGTTAAAAAGGTTTAGTCTTGTAAAGTAAAGGTCAAAAGTTGTAAAAGAGCAGTTTTCAGAAATATTATGTATATTCGTTCTATCCTGTATAAATGTTATACAGCTCTCCAGCTAAGCAAAAATTTGTAAATAAAAACTAAAAATTACTAAAATCCTTACATTTTTACTTAAACCACAGTCCAAATTTTTAGCAACAATGGTAATTTTTATTAAGCACCCTTTGTTTGTTATATTTTCATATAAGAGTATTTTTTAACCACATAATTTGATAGGAATATTATTATATTATTATCATTTATTTTATATTATTATTTACAATTTTCTATGTTAGGTTATTGTTATATTGAGATTTTTTTAGAACCATTATCAAAAACACAAAAGTATATTATTATATTCAAAACAACTTACGAGCAATATTACTAAATATAATAAAAAACTTTTTTATTATATTTTTTCGAATTTTTATTTGACTTTTCAAAAATTTAAGATTAAACGACAGTATTACTCACAAAAAGGGAGAACAAAACTTAAAATAGCAGTTATTGAATAACATTTATACATATTTCAAATGTATATGTAACATTAGTATAATATTCATACTTTCGAACAAAATTTTGGTAGTATAAGTTTTACTTTTTAATTTTGTCACCTGTTTTATTATTAATACTGATATTTGTATGGTTTCAATAACTATATAGGGTAAGAGTGAAATAAAATTAAAGATAATATATTAAAATTATTAACTTACAAATTCTATGATATTAGAATTTAGCTTTGTTAAGTATTCTATATTACTCCTGGGAAATTCTAAGGTTCATTGTTAAGATATCCTTTATAATATAGCGAGAGGAAACTAAGCCATTATTGTTTATTTAGTTTCATTAAGGTCATTTATGTACGTATAAATTCATGTTAACAAAGTTTTTCTTAATATAGATGGCAGTTCTGTACTTAATTTTTAGACCTTTCATGAATATTGTTAGGTAGTTAGTCACATAATAAAAATTGAAGGGAAATTATGACTTCGGAGAACTCTTTGAAATAATTTAAAAAAAAAAACAGTAATTTTGAAATCTTCCTCACAAATTTATCTTAAAAATGACATAGACGTGGAGCTTGACATACTAGTACTGTAGTAAATAACTACAGCGTAGTGAATAACTAACATTGTAATAAAATCGAAACTACATTTTATTTACAGTATTGTGTAATGACTTCTATTATTTCAATCACAAAAAAGAATTCAAAAAAGTATTTCAGAATGCTGATGTGGTGAAACAATACTGCATAGAGAACAAACATTAAAACTATTTCCTTTTACCGAAATGCTGATGGTAGTGGCAATATTAAATTACAAAATAACCAATTGATTCAAGATTTATGAAGTTAGCTTCAAACTTCTGAAACTGTTATAGTTGAAACTAATATCGTGTTTATATTGAATATAATAGAGGTATTAGTTTACAATATATAAATATATTTTACCTACATAAATTCACACTTCTGTCGTAGTAAGTTAGAATACAAAAACAAAAAAGTATAATATTATATAGAAAAATCTTATTTTCATTGTTGAAACACTTTTGAAACTACAAAATCCATTAAAGTAGTTCATTTAAAAAAAGTATGTATAAAAATATAATTATTATTATACTGTTCAAGGCCTCACTTATGAACAACTACATATTTTACAGATTTGTTAAACATTCGAGATCTATTAATATACGTAAAATGTTCACTAACCACATATTATAGTAACATGTTAAAAATAAAAATTCACTACTTTTTGTCTGAAACAAAAATAACCATCAACACATTCATTCATTAGTTAACATTTTAATTTATGATTTTAGCTGACCGCTTTATACACATATCTGTTTTTATCACAATGAAAAATATATTGTAATTTATACACAAGCGTTTCACAGGACGCAATTATTTAGTTATGACATCAAAATATAATCCCCTTCCTCCCGGATATCTGAGAAGATATAACGTATGCAAATTTAGCCTCGTATTTAATTTACAGGTACGAGTAGGTGTATGATTATCTGTGTGACACAAAATGTCGCATATCTTATCCGTCTTCCTAAACAGTCGACAGGCTTGTGAGTGCTTGAGCACAACATGTCGTCATACCTTTGATTTCTTACAGCTTTAATATACATATGCCTGAATACAGTTAATAGTTACAGATTAATTTCAATATTCCAATATTGTACAAAATTCTGTGAAAGTATTCCTAATCGTGGGTTAAAGGATTCTATTGGCTAAAACCCATTGAAACTATTTAGCCCAAATTTTTAAATTAATTCGATAGGGAAATAAACAATAGGGAAATAAACATTCGATAGGGAAATAAACAAGAAATAAACATGTACCGTAAGTATCTACGAGTATATAATCGTATAATAATTTATATGAGTCACTTTCCAAACCTCATTATGTTGAAATCTTTTATTAAGTACTAGCTTTCCGCCCGCAGCTTCGCCGCGTGGAGTTCGGTTATATCGCGTTTCCAAGAGAACCTTTCAAAAGTCTGGGATAAAAACTATCCTATGTTCTTTCTCAAGGTCAACTCTATCTCTGTACCGAATTTCATTAAAATCAGTTCAGTGGTTTAGGCGTGAAAGCGTAGCAGACAGACAGACAGACAGAGTTACTTTCGCATTTATAATATTAGTAGGGATAATATTAATTTAAACCAGAACGACAAAGCACACGCAAGTATCGGCGCAGAGACCCACGACCAAACACCCAAGTATTCTTCTTCTTAGCAATATATCAGTGTAATTACCTTATTACTAAATTTTATATCTAAGAGTTTTCAGAAACGGTCGTGTATCTTTTCGATTGTTTAATATATTAAGTGCATGAACGATTACAGTGTCTGCTTTTTAGAATTTATCCAACCCGCTTCGACAAAATACTTCACCACTACCACAAATACGAAAAAGAGAAGTTGACGATATAAAATAAATATTTAGTCTTATTAATATTATTATTACATAGTTATTATTTTCGCAATTATTAGAATACACGTTATCATCGTTATTAGGTTTCATTCGGTTTGTCAGGTCAGGTTCAAACTTACGCCAGGTCTGTGACATAGTATTTGGAATCAAAAATATTTATGAAAATAAGTCCATGATTTAAGGAGTAATAGAATTACAATTATGTAATTATATAGTCGAATTGAGAACATTCTCCTTTTTGAAGTGACTCCGTATAACGTTTGGTATCGCCGTGATGTAATTTCAAACACAGGTAGGTAACCTGTGTTTGAAATTATAGGCAAATTTGGTCCAGCCGTTTTAGGAATTAACCCCATTAAATAGACAGTGGATCTAGTTAAATTTTTTTTGTACTTTTCATGCATTTTTTGTATATAATTCATATGCTTTTAGAGCAAAATGAAATGACAAGATACTTTAAATTTATTTTCTAGTATATATTATAGGATAATGGATGTCACCAAATTATATGACGGAGTATGCACAATACGTTGTGTAAAGTGCCTTATTTTGGGAAAACTAGTTGATATATTGGTTTCATTTCTTTCATGTTTGTATTTAAATGTTTTCGTTTATTTGAGTGATTATATTTGGTTGATAAAGGTTAAGAATTTGAAGAGAAGATACTCAATTCATTTGACAATACATTGACGATATGTCGTTTGAACTATGTAATTTTGTGATAGCTGTTTGTTTGTTTGATTAAGATTATTTTAAGTTTTTAAGTGTATTCCTTATTTCTTTTAATTTGTTTGATTGTATTTAGTTGATTAATATTGTGAATGTAATTTAAAAAAGTAACTCAATTTATTATAAAGAGCCGACGCTAACGTCAGTTAGATTGTCGAGTGGGGTTGCGAGAGGCGCCAACTTCATAGTAGTGGGCAAGCATATAAACTGCAGCAGTCACACTGCAAGGGCAGTGCTCATTTGGACGTAGTGTTGGACGCACCCTCGGAAATCCACGTGGCTCGATTTCATGTGTTAATCAAAAAGCAAGAAGTGAAGTAAAGTGAAGTGAAGTGACTTTAAAGTGTTGTGAAGTGTTTTGTGAAGTGTTAGTGGTTAGATATCAAATAAGAGTGAATTACAAGACCCTAATGGACTCGGCGATCCGACATCAGAAGTTGGGAATCACCCAGATACGCACACTCGAAGTTGGAGTCCAATTCTCCAATCCGAACACGACAAATGGAGGAAACTTTTTTATTTATTTACAACATCGTTACATGCTTGAATTGGTAAACTATATGAGGGCGCCCAAAGATGATGCAACGAAGAGTACCGCCACAGAGGACTGCCATATGTTACCGATGTGGACAACCGGGGCACATAGCGCCTACGTGTCCAACTAAATCTGGGAAAACTGTTTAACAACCAAATCTGACCGAATGGCTGGTAGATATCTGCACCGTCAGTCCTGCTTCAGGAGACCATTATAATCTGGGTGAGAGATTTCCTTTTTATTTTGATTATTTGATATTTGATTTAATTTTGATATCATATTACTGTCAGGTATAGGTAACAAAAGTTTGGTGTGTCACTTACACGTTTTGTAAACGGTATTGATCCAAAACTACAACATTGAGTTATTGTTTCACGTTGTTCCTGATCAGTCACTTCCTAATAATATTTTAGTAAATAAAGACGTGTTAATTACTCCACTTATAACTCAAGAACGGCTGAACCGATTTTACTGAAAGTTGGCAGGGAGGTTGTTTAGAGCCAGGAAATTGCAATAGGATTTTACTTTTTATCCCTTTTGACAGCATTCCCGTGGGACTTGACATGAAACGTCAGTAACTATTAAACGTGGAATAACGAAACACAATTGACAGCTATGCAATTGACGTATAATGACAGATATGTAATGACGTTTTACATTCGTTGGAAAGGTCTCGGGCTCAGTGAGATTTATAACAAAAAAAAATAATAATAACAGAAAAGCGGGAAAATCTTTTTTTTTTTTTTCACATACAGCATAACATGTACTACAAATCAATATTTTAAGTAGATGGCGCCGGTTCATGATACATTGTTCGATAGCTAATCATTGTTCTTTGCTCAGTTAATTTCATGTCACAAACCGGTATTGTTTGTAGTTTGAACTCTTAAAACCATTCAGTATTTGCGGGATAAATTTAGAAAATCATTGTTTTTCACATGGACGTAATATTTTGCGTGTTCACGAGTTTGGAAACCATCCGCTTTATTTGTGTTAAAGTTAGACCAAAAAAAAAAAAAAAAAAAACGATAAATGTGGTTTACGAAGGACCACTTCAATGTAACGGATAATTTGCGGGTTTACTAGTTATTAATAACACTAAAGTCATGCAATACTGTGAAGTCGGCAGAAATTCAAAGTATTTTGTTGAAGGTGTCCCCACAAGTAGAGTTACATCAGGCCAACTAGAAATAAAATTAATTAATCCAAATCTCACTGTTCAACGTCGTCTCTATAGATTGAACATAGATGAACGAATGGTTGTAAGAGAAAAATTTCGTGATCTCTTAAATGCCGCAGTCATATGTGAAAGCTATCCTCCTTTTTCTAGTCCTATGTGGTATACATCTTGTCAAGGATTCTGTGTGACCTTGGCAAAGATCTGTGTGATGTATCTTGTCATGGATTCTGTGTGACCTTGGCAAAGATCTGTGTGATATATCTTGTCAAAGATCTGTGTGAACTTGGCAAAGATCTGTGTGATATATCTTGTCAAGCATCTGTGTGAACTTGACAAAGATCTGTGTGGATTATATATTGTCAAGGATCTGTGTGAACTTGGCAAATATCTGTGTTGTATACATCTTGTCAAGCATCTGTGTGAACTTGACAAAGATCTGTGTGGATTATATATTGTCAAGGATCTGTGTGAACTTGGCAAATATCTGTGTGGTATACATCTTGTCAAGCATCTGTGTGAACTTGACAAAGATCTGTGTGGATTATACAGGGTGACTGGTGAATTACTATCAATATTTAAGGACGTGGTAGTTGACGATCATATATGACAAAATAAAAATTAATATAACATAAATATTAATAAACTTCTGAGTAAAGTTAACCAAAAGTTATGTAATTAATTACGGATCGCGTGGATACCCTAGCTGCGTTATCGACACAAAACAGTTATGTACGTAGGTATATGTAGTTATCGCGCGGTAGTTTACCTACATCCAAACGCCGCGCGCCGCGTTAGACCTTAGATAAACAAAAATGATCCAATTCCCTTCATACTTTAATCCTGGCTTAGGACAGGCAAAAATACCAAGATATTTCTTTCGTTTAAGCAACCAATTTATTGACTAGGTAAATGGTGTGACCTTGACACGAAAAATAATATGAACTGTTTACCTATCTTGGTATTTCCGGCGTATTTAAAAATGGAATCATTCTTATTTACAACAATTGTCAATCGTTAAACTACCTATTTACCTACATAACTACACTAATCTTAACAAATGTTCAAAGCGAGCTCCTTCTCGTGTGATAGACAGTTCGGCACGTTTACACATATTGTCTTTCACACGATTTAATACGAATGGGTCACTTTTAATAGTTTCGAAAGCACTATTGATTTTTAATTTCAACTCCTCTCTGTTGACATACATTGTAGCATACACAAGACGTTTCCTTGGGCATGTGTTGGAACACGGAACTGTCCGAAGTCTCGTAATCTTTGATTAGCGTTTAAGATGACGCTGGCCGTAGGTACTCGACGATTGGGGAACATCTCCCGGTACAAATTGAATGCGCCCGGCAAGCTATCATTTGCACGCGCATACGCATGAACCATGTCCAAGTATTCTGCATTTGTGTATTGAAAAGCCATATTTAATTACTAATAAGTAATAACGGGTCACACGCACACACGACAGATTATTATTAGGTATACGCGTAAGATCGATCGCTAGGCGCGCGCGCGGGAAGACGAACGTACGGACCTTACGGCGGGGCTCGCGCGACTAATAGCCGACTAATGGCCCGCTAGCCACGGGGCGGGGGTTGGGGAGTAGCGACACACTGGCGCCGGCAAGGCTGAGTACGTGTCCAAACTTTATTTATTTATACGGAAATTTGGTCAAAAATTAAGTACCTATTTTTTTTACATAATTCGAATGAGAATCATGTACCGAGTATGCTCCTTAAATATTGATAGTAATTCACCAGTCACCCTGTATATTGTCAAGGATCTGTGTGAACTTGGCAAATATCTGTGTGGTATACATCTTGTCACGCATCTGTGTGAACTTGACAAAGATCTGTGTGGATTATATATTGTCAAGGATCTGTGTGAACTTGGCAAATATCTGTGTGGTATACATCTTGTCAAGCATCTGTGTGAACTTGACAAAGATCTGTGTGGATTATATATTGTCAAGGATCTGTGTGAACTTGGCAAATATCTGTGTGGTATACATCTTGTCAAGCATCTGTGTGAACTTGACAAAGATCTGTGTGGATTATATATTGTCGAACCCGTATGTAAAGTCTATGTTAAAATGTTTGTACTGTGATTTTGATTTTCATATAAAAGATAATTAGTTCGTGTTGAGTTAGATGAGATATAATGTTTACAGTCTAATTAATTTAATTAGTTCAGTCAGGATAGCCGAGCGTTAAAAAAATACCAATATTATTTGATTTTAGATTCTGATGACACACACACATAGACACACGAGGACGTGTGATATTGCAGGATGGCCGTGACGGAGTATGCACAATACGTTGTGTAAAGTGCCTTATTTTGGGAAAACTAGTTGATATATTGGTTTCATTTCTTTCATGTTTGTATTTAAATGTTTTCGTTTATTTGAGTGATTATATTTGGTTGATAAAGGTTAAGAATTTGAAGAGAAGATACTCAATTCATTTGACAATACATTGACGATATGTCGTTTGAACTATGTAATTTTGTGATAGCTGTTTGTTTGTTTGATTAAGATTATTTTAAGTTTTTAAGTGTATTCCTTATTTCTTTTAATTTGTTTGATTGTATTTAGTTGATTAATATTGTGAATGTAATTTAAAAAAGTAACTCAATTTATTATAAAGAGCCGACGCTAACGTCAGTTAGATTGTCGAGTGGGGTTGCGAGAGGCGCCAACTTCATAGTAGTGGGCAAGCATATAAACTGCAGCAGTCACACTGCAAGGGCAGTGCTCATTTGGACGTAGTGTTGGACGCACCCTCGGAAATCCACGTGGCTCGATTTCATGTGTTAATCAAAAAGCAAGAAGTGAAGTAAAGTGAAGTGAAGTGACTTTAAAGTGTTGTGAAGTGTTTTGTGAAGTGTTAGTGGTTAGATATCAAATAAGAGTGAATTACAAGACCCTAATGGACTCGGCGATCCGACATATATATTATTTATTTTTATAAACACCTTTCATATATTATAGAATAATATGTCTTTTAATTATATTCCAACTTCTAGTTTTCTGCTATCTATAACAAATACTCGCTATTTCTCTGCATTGAAGTAGATAGTAATAAATTGGTAATTACAATTTCATTCCCTCTTCGGGGAGCTCCCCGAAGAGGGAATGAAATTGTAATTACCAATTTATTACTATCTACTTCAATGCAGAGAAATAGCGAGTAACTACAATTATTATCAAAGTAGATGCTAAATATAATAATTTAATTGTGATTTCAAATGCACAATTCCAAATTTACTCTAGTTGTTTAAAACGAGAAGCAAAAAAAAATATTAGTAAAAAGTTAATTAACTTTAAGATTGTTAAATTATTTAAAAGAGAATAATTGATAAGGTTTTAGTTACAGTAATCGTCATCATAAATATGAATTTCCTTTACTTATACATAATATCAAAACAGTAATGTCTCAAAAACTCAGCGACACTTTTTATAAATTTCACTACAAAATAAATAAGTATGATGGTTTTACTTTAATAAATCCATGAGCTGTTTGTTTTATATTTTCAAACACGGCGATGACTTCATACAACTTGTATGAGGAACAGACAAATTTAATCTAAAGTTTCGTTTGATACTATTGTCGTTAGTAAGCGTCCTTTGTATTAAAACTTTAAACAATACGGCAGAAGGCTTACAACTCTTACGCTGTTACAATATATAGAAATTCAATATACAATATTCAAACATATACATATTATGTATATCTCCTATTAGTAAATCAATTACATTAAAATGTGATATAAAGCTAGCAAAACAGCGTAAAGAATTTTAGATGGGCACTTTTAATTTGATAAAATTTAATGTTATTTTGAAAAGAAAACAATCACTGGAATTTTTATTCAATTATTTATTTGTAACCAGCGCTTTCAAGATACCTTTTTAAGAATCGGAAATTTTTGTAGAGTATGTTGAAGATAATATAATTGGATAAAGCGGCTAAACTTTTTTCCAGGTACTTATATTAAATTAGCTTCGAGGATAAGAAGTCGGTACAGAGAAAAATAAATGTGAGTCACAATGAGAAACAGTAAAATGAAAGCAATTGTATAAGATGAACAAAAACATCGTTATATGGAAATTATAAAAATATTTGTACAATATTCTGATTAATATTTCGTATATTTAACTGATTTCACAAAACTAAACCAAAAATAAACAATGGAAAATAAAAGCTTTCGATCATTTACGGGAACAAAATAAATGTTAATAATTTTATTACATTTGATCTACGCTATCTATTCTTTGTCCATATGTGTTTAATCTGGTAATTTTTTTACTATTCTGTTCTTTCTTATTTAACACATCATAAGAGATAATTGTATTGAATGAGGCACTTTTTGTCCCTCATAGCTAAGCTCAATTACCGAAATTGGTTATGCATATTTTATGCAAACAAAAAGCTTATTATAAACTAAAATTGCAAATAGTTATCGCCGCAGCAAGCACACTAAGTTTCTCTTAGCGTCGTTCAACCCTACATTGTCATGAAAACTTAACGACTTACTCAGAAACTTATAATAAAATCTTTTGTAAGAGTGTTTTAAGTCCGGACATTTCTTCAATCAATTGTTACTGTTTCAATGTTTATCTTGGGTATTAAAATTATAGTATTTTATTATCTATGTTTTTTGCGAATTAGAGGAATAAATAGATATGTGTTATAAAACTTTTATGAGCAATCAGTTTAACACTGACAATGTGTAAATGACACACATTGTAAGCAAATAATACAAGAAAATACAAACAAAAGAATTAGATCCCGAATGTAGGACTCATTTCACTTTATTCTAATGTAGGGCGATTCGATTAACGACCTGTTTGTGGTCACCTGGTATTCTGTAAGGAATTGGTCTTGTACGCGGTGTCTACAAAATATGGTTCTTAGTCATTAAAAACGAATTTGTCTAGAGATCTATAGTTTCTAACTGCATACCAAACATTATATTGTGTTTGACATACATACTTTTTTCGGCTATCTTTACATTTTCCTTTGTCATACATGGTACAATAATTTTAACTATTATGGATCCTTCTTTTCATTCAGCTAACCAATTAACCATTTCACTGATAATAATCTCTATACATATCTTAAATTTAATATTTAATCAGGTGTGATTTTCAACATATAGGATTATATGACAATATAATTAATATTAATCGAACAAAATAATATGTATTCATGTCATAATATTATGTATAACATTTTATATTATTTAAGAAAAACGGTTTAACCTCCTCTTAACCCGGCGCCAATGACGCGAAAAAAGTTGCAAGAACGATGACGTTGGGTCATTTTGACCTGACGTTTTAATGAGGATTTATAATAAAAAATATATTATTTTTTTAAATTGTAATTAATGTTCACTAAATAAAGGTATTTCTGCATAAAAATAAATAAAAATAAAACTAATATATATAGTAATTAGACTTTTATTGGCATACTCAACAAGACGTGCAAAATCAACTTTGAACAAACAACATAAGTTAATTATAATTTTTGGTTTAAGTAATGTTAATATTCATTGGTAACAAACATCTTATAATGCTAAAATGAGATCAAATTAAGTTATTTTTAATTATAGATGCCAATCAGTCTTCTTTTTCCTCATTTACTGACATCGAACTACTACAATTATTGCAGTAGGTAATCAAATGATCAGGGCATATATAAATTTCCATCTCTTCCTTTGAACACATGCCGATTTTGTTGACTTTGTAATGTCAAAAGGTCCAAATTGCTTGGTTCCGCATCAGAATCACTAACTTGTTGTTCCGTGCCGCTATCGTTACTTCGTTCCGATAAATGGTCTTCAACCTCGGCGTCCGAAGTAGAATTTGACTGGTCTTCATCTGACTCTTCCAATATTTCCAATATTCTCCGCGGATCATTTGTCAGTGCAATTTTCTTCAAAAACCTATTAAAGAACACAGAAAATAAATATAAAAACACTAACTAGAAAAAAAAAGTATGTCACGAAAATATTACATTTACAATGACGCTGGGTCAAACTTACCCGATTGAACTTGACGCTCGTGTAGCTCGTTGCGCGGGCGGCGTCGCCCTGAGAGACCCATCGGGGCGGGTAGCAGGGAGGTATCGCTTCAGCTACTCAAACGCTGAAACCACATAACCCGGGTAAACAAAATATATGTTCGTTAAAAAATGTCTTGGGTCAATATGACCCAGCGTCATTGGCGCGGGTTAAAATAAATAGTATAAGAAAGATAAATTTACCACAATTTACAAACCTCTTATTTTATCAAAACATTCAGGAAGTTTATAAAATTTACTGAAAGTAGTAAGTACATTCTGTGATCTCATGAATATCAGCTTAGTCCAAATAAAATAGTCAAAATAATTAATTCATATAGATGTATGCCGATGCACAATTTATGTTTCTATATTATTGAGTTCAATTTACTTTGTTATTTTGTTGATTTTGTTAGGGATCTTAATAATTGCCTTTCAATTCTTAGAAAATTGCCTAGACCGTATTGCGTTGAAACTTATTGATTACTTGAAACGTATTATTATATACATAGTTATAGACAAATACAGTAATAAACGGTGTGGTCTTGTTTTTATAAATAATATAAGTACAAGAATTATTGAGCCATAAGATAAAGTCAAAACATTTGTATGTGTGTAGCTTGTCCCAGCAGCACCAACAACTAGCAAAAATGTATACATAACTGCAAGTTTTTATGGGTAGGAACATACATAAATCATATGACTTCAAAACGTATCGCGTAGCATTTCTTTCTCGGAGAATAGATTTTGCTTTTAGTGATTTGTTTCCTAAATACTCGTACATCTTCATTACGTTTGAACATGCAGCGAGTACTTATAAGGAAATCATATACATGGAATTTATAAGTACGGGATTTTTACCATCTATCGAAAACGAAATTTTTGTTATACAAATTGGAATATACTAAGTTTCGTTATTAAAACTACAGAAGTAAATATCAGTCATTTATCACATGACTGTAAAATAAATACTAGTTACAAACGACCCCTGCTATGATTATAATTTATTATCAATTCGGATTATCTCGTGCAATATATGGTAAATTAACAAATCTTTGAAAATATGAGTATTACTGATTGAGTTTTATTATATTTTTTATTAACTTTTTAAAATACCTTTGAAATATTCTGTAACCCCATTTAGCACCGAAAGAAAATAGTTTTAAGATAATTAAACTAATATTATTATATTTACAAACGAAGGTAATATGTATTATTATATAAAATTACAGTCTGATATAAATAAATATAAAAAATAAAACAAAATTCTGCTAAGTGCTAGGGAAAAGTACTTTTTCTAAGCACCTTATAAGTTTCACTTCAACGTAACATTATTTATAACAATGACAAGTCCTTGATGAAGCACTTTTCTTCGTAGTTCGTGTAAAACAAAAGTGTTCTAAGAAACAACTCTAAGACAACCTGGAACAGCTTTTTACGTGGTGAGATAATTTGAAATGGAGACATTATGCTTCTAATAAATGCTTTTATAAAACCCCGTATTGAATCTTATCTTATTCTTTTATTTCACCTACTATAAGTATTTAAAAAAAATTACACAAATATTCACATAAAACAGTGTTCCGTATTTCTTTTATATCCGATGTGTGAGATATTAGGCTACTCTTAACATCCCTTTATATGTTATTTCCCCGATGCTTATTATGCACAGTCACCTCATGTCCTTTATGGCTATAAACCTATCTGAGTGTCTAATGTGGTTTTAGTGACACAGATCATGAACCTCCTTACTACACAATGTGATGGTTACCAAGTATTTATCAATTATTCATCTTATGAGTCTTAGATCATGGCTTGGCTGAGTCCATAGATCATAGCATCGTTTAATAAATGTGAGGTTCCAAGCCTAGTTTGTTTACAGCATCTAAGGTACGATAAGTAGGAAGAAAAAGATTTTTCTGAATCCATACCAAAAAGCCTGCTGTTCTTTTTGTCTAATTATCCTGTGCTGATACCGCGGCTGACACTTATTAAAGTCTTAAGATTTTGAAGCTATTGTAGAGTAATGAATTAAAACTTCTGTGTAGATACCTATATTAACATAAAAAATTGGGCCACCCAATGGTTCTCTAAAAAACCTGCTATATGGAGGCCTTTTGCAGTTTGTTTTCGAAATACGATTTAAGGGGAAGCGATTTTTAAGACGCTGTTTATTCCTCGTGTTAACGACAAATTGCAAAGAATTAACATTTACAGCAGTCCCAATAAAAAAAAACAGATGCTGCTTTTGACACTTTAAGATTAAATATATTTCAGGATCAATTGAAAGATAACAGGTTAAAATTTTTATTGTCAATTTATCAATCAAAAGATAACAGTTTAAAAATTTAAATCAGGTATCGGATTTGGGTCAGACTTATTGTAGTAAGTTCAATCCAAAAATTTCTAAGTTTAACACGGAAGGATTTATTTTATCGTTGGTACAAAATATCAAAATAATCCCTCAAATATCAGCTTAAGTCTTGGAAGGGACGTCATCACATCGCAAAAAGGCTAGTTCTGGAATCTTTGTAAAGTAAGGCTTTAATAAATTGAAAAAAAATATATTACTTTTACTGGTTTTACTAGGTAGGGCAAAAACGTATTTTTTTAAATACCATTCTATACAGAACAACCTGTCTCCACATGTGACACTAGTCTCATCTCTGGCCTGGGGCCTCTTAATATATATTAAATGTCGTAAAACCCCTGGCAGTTTGAAACGTTTAAAAATTCAAAACATATTAATCATATAGATCTTTGAAATTTAACTAGAGAAGTGGGTTTTCTTTGTGTGTTTTATCATCTGTGTAATGGAGAATGTTCAAAATAAGTGTTATTTTACCACTCCATTTTCGTATACGTTAACCTTCTATTAATCATTTCAATTCTTTAAAAATCATATAAATATTTATAATATGTATCAATTACTTACCTTCATTTTATATATTCGAACATTATTTATTTGACGTTAAGCATGTCATAGACATATAAGTAATAAGGTCAAAAATCTTTGAATTTTGTACCTCAGTTAAAATATTAAAGTTTACTTTGTTAAAGTAATGAAACCAAAACTTGATTTTGAAACACATGAGGACGTATAAAGTATTTTTTTGACTTAGGTTAATGATAATAATAATAACCTTATATCAAACGTAGAATTTTAATTATATTGCTTTTCAAGAAACAAAGCGTGTCTTGACAATATTGGACATACTTATTGAGTATTGATAACCTATATATACATTGCTTAGCCCTCCGTCCCAAAAGCTGATATATAATAAACATTAAGTTTGTACGCATTAGTTAACATTTTGTTAATTTCATAAATAAAATACTAGTCTACATGAAACTGATATTAAGTGTTAGTATAATATACTTAGTACATATAATTGCTAAAATATTTTCTGGTGTCAAAATAATAGTATCATCAGAATAATTTTTTTACACTTAAAAATTTAAAATATCCATACTTTCAAACATTTTAAAATAAACTTTGTAAAACAATATATTCACTATTGGGTTCGATTTTTATTATTTTACATGTTATTTTACATTTTATGTTTAAAAATCAAAAATCTAGCGACAATTTACTAACTGTTAATTTAGCAATAAACAACTTCCAAAATTGTTTATCCTATCTGTAATTTTTCATGCCTAGACGAATAACTAGACAATTAAATTTTTGTTCAAGAGGTAAATAAATAGTTAGTTTTTTTAAACATTCGTTAAGAAAAATTTACAGGGACAAGTACCTCTCACAAGAATGTTCGATTCTTGACGTCCTTTTTATAGCATTCTAAATTAAATAAAAGATACATAATATGATTATGATACAAGTATCACTATTATTTCATTTTATTAACACTTTCTAATTGCTTTTTTGTCCATTTTGTGATACTCCAAATAAGATAAAAATAAGATTTCTATGCCTTGGTATATCTTTAAAACACTCACCACCAGTAATATTGTAAGTATTTATCCGGAACCACAAACTCCAAACAAATTTCAAAGTATACTGAAATAAAGAAAAGTTTGCTACGAAAAAAATAATAATTCAATCGACAAGAACTCTGTCTGTCTACAAAATACACAAGATTGTTTCTACAAACCTTTTTCTTATTACAAAATAGGATTCTTTTCAAGTGTTCAACTTAAAAAGAAGGAAGCAGGACTTGTAAAACAGATTGAAGTCAGGCTGCGACCTCAAACAAGTGTTTTATTTATTTAAAATATATTTTGTGATATCTTTCGTAGTAATATTTATAATAAGACAGGACGAATATTTTTTTTTACATAAGCTTATTCTGTAATTAAAACAGTGTTCCAAATATTGTAAAGAATTTGAATTACTACTGTTGGTTTTGGTACTAAAAGTAACATTGTACAAACAAAAATAAAAACAACATACAAACTACATATATCCGTTACATGAAAGTCCACCAATGGAAATTCAATTACAGAACCACTAGTGACTTTGCAGTAGTAGACAGATTTTCAGTATTAAGTAAATGATATTTTTCTATTTACGTACATACTATACTTAGTTTTAAATTTATCACAGTCCCAAATTACAAAAATATACTTACGCTGACGAAAATTTAGATATTATATAAATATAATGAACGAATCCGTGCTCGAACATAAATTTGACCATTCAAGTTTAAACCTAAATACGACATTGCATTAAATATAAATTCATGTGCTGAAACCAAGCAAATTATTGATAATATAAATTAAGGACTCCCCTTAAATATATACATTCCGTTATTACTTAACTTCGAATTTAATTTATATGAAATACGTGATATAATAACAATATTCTAAATCAGAGCGCTATTTCACTTCTAAATTTATAATTTCATCAATATGCACTTATTTAGCTGAATTTATTTTAACACAAGAATCTATCTATTGTACATACGTGTTTAAAATATGTATATACAACTAAATAATTTCAGTATATTATGATATGTAAATAATTAGGAATTTGTGTATTTTCGTAACTAATATTTGAATCATCTACTTATTTTTTTTATTTACC